ATCGCGGTCCCCTCCAATCCCCAACCCCACCCTCAGCCCATTGCCTGTAGAGCCGGCAACCGCTGCCACATTGCGCCTACGCCCTCGCCTAATACATACACACAGAACATCCAAAAAAAAAAAGAGAAAAAAGAACAAGAACAAAAAAATAGGGAGCAGGAAAATGCCCCAACAGGACTCTAGAGACTCTAGAGCTCCATTCCAGTGCTTAATTCATTTACATGATAAATTAACAAACAGCCCCGCGTATCTCTGTATCTCCGTATCGTATCTCGTCTGGCACCATCGATGATATCTACCGATCTGCCGATAGATAGCCAGCCCTCCCCATCACACTGATAAGATTGATGAATTTTTCCACATATATGTGTATGTATATGTATGTAGTACTCTGCATTTCGTATATTCCGACCATATGCAAATTGGCCAGCTATCGTTGTTTTTGCCTCCGCGCTTCTCTGTGACCGAGAGCTGATAACAACAAAAGCAACACCACTGTAAGCAGTGCGCGCCCTATTGGACAGCCGAGACAGTGGTGGCCAAAAAGAGTGGCACACATTCACCCATCCATCCATCCATCCATCCATCCATCTATCCATCCATACTGTTGTCGTGTCGTCCTTGTCTGCTGCCCCGTCCCGTCCCTGTGTGCGTGTGAGTCATGCTGTTCCGTGCCTCTGACCTGTCCGTTCATTAGAGATTGTTTATGGGACAACAACGACGATGATGATGAAGATAACGATGATGATGGTGCCTTTTTCCCATTGCAAACAATTCCGAATTCCGTTTCAGCTGAACTGTAAAATTGTAAATACTATATACATAAATAAATGTTCTCATAAGAAGAAGCGTGAACCGGGAAGTCACCCACTCGCCTAGCCTAGCCATCACCCCAAAATAATCCGACGCGAAGCAGAGCAGGAGCAACATCGCAAACATCAGCAGACCATCAGAAATTACCATCAGAGCCAACACAATGGGCTGCACTACCTCCGCCGAAGAACGGGCTGCCATACAACGGTCCAAACTGATCGAGAAGAACCTGAAGGAGGATGGTATCCAGGCGGCCAAGGACATCAAGCTGCTGCTGCTGGGTAAGTGCACAGGAAATGGAAATTCCCCCCATTTACCTTTTCCATTTGCTGTAATGCTTTAATGGAAATTGCCCTTTATCAATACGAGATTTCGTGGCCCTTGAGTTGGCCGGAAAATTGTATTTTTTTTTTTGTGCTGATACATTGGGGAAATATTTATCGCGCACTTTCACTGAGCACAGTGGGTAGGAAGTGCATTTTGGTTGATTGGGGAAAGGTAATGAAAAAGTAAAGGAATCAATGAATAGAAAATATACCTCTCCTTGGCCCTAGGTTTTGTATTTTTAATTTAATTTCTTTTTACCCAGTTGTCCCACCAAAACGCCCATCCCCATTCCCTGACATGGATGATGCATCAATTCCATGACAAAACTATTCTTGGCGTGTTTTTTGGCCAAGGCCAAGCCGAAACAACAAACGAGGCATACCGCATTTAGGTCAACTCATCTGGATTGCATGTTGAATTTATTTTACGAGTTGGAGGATGTCACGAACCACTGTGCGGACAGCAGCAGCAGAACCAGCAACAGTTGCATCTGCATCTAAATTTGGGGCTAGACAAGTGTGAAGACTAAACACTTTCGAGGAGCCATGTGGCTGGCTGTTCTCTCGCCTCAAGTGTCTCTGCATCGGCAACGGCATCGGCATTAGCCGCCACCGCATCCGCAGCCTTAGCCCTAGCCGCGTATGCTGTAAGCATCCGCCAGCGAGTGGAGGCAATCGACGCCACTTGACATTGAAACCACGGCACATGTGTGTGGGTCGGTTAACCAGGTTGGGCCCCTGACATTGAAATGCCAGTTAATCTGCCAGGCGACCAAAAAGAAACCAGACACGAAGAGAGGAAGATAGGCAGAGAGAGGCGAAACCTGCAACATCGACTTGTGTCTCTTCTGTATTTCTGCACTGAAAGAAATACAAACAAGAAATTTATTGTGAAAACTATTTGTAAAAGTATCATTAAATAGTGGGGAAAAGTTCGTTCTTCTATGATTAAAACTAAACTTAATATTTTTCATTCGTTACGCGTTTTGGAATGAGTCAAATTTCGCTAGAACTATACATATTTTGTACATTAGAATCTGTTTCCTCAGTGTAGATGTATTGTATTTTTATGCACGTAAAGATGGGGGAACAATAGGAGCATTATTTCTCCCACTGCCTTCTGCGCTGTTGCTCCGTGCTGTTCTGTGCAATCAGGCAAAACTTTGGAGCATTCAACCAACAGCAGCAACGAGGAGGCAACAACATGTACAGCGATTGCAGCTCATGTTGCACCACTGGGGCAACAGCAAGGACGAGTGGCGCTGGGGGGAGATGAGTGGCAGGCGGAAGCATCGAATGGCGGCCAGGAAACACTAACGAAACAATGCCCAGGAAGGGCCGGGACAGCAAAGGGACCGGACGGAAGGGAGCGAGCGACATGTACAGGACTTGTGTGTTCCGTCTTTTGTGGGGGGTTGGGTGTGCCTCGAAAGCCCCTTTACAACAAAGCGGAAGTTTAAAAGAAATCCCACTTGAAGCATAATTTCAAGCCAAAGGTTATTGAGGAAGCAACATTTGTTGTTGCTGTTTTGTTTTGTTCTCTCATTTGTTGCTTCTTGTGTACGACTGAAGTGGCAACAACGATACACACGACCAGAGTGCAGAGCTGCAAATTGCCCTGATAGATGGAACACAGTATGTACATGACAGTTGGCATATGGTTTTAGAGAGAGAGAGAGAGACAAATGGGTTCAGTATAATAATACAAAGGTTGTACAAATCTGGAAATGGAACCTATTTGATGTGTTAATATTGAATTCCATTTTTAGCAATGGAAACAGACATGCCTAATACTTGCTGGGTATCCAATTTTTGGAAATCAATTCATATGAATATCTTTCGCAATAAAGCATTTTGAATGGTCCCTCAGCATATCTGGCTGTCTGTCATCCCCAAGCAAATCAATGTAGCGAAATAATCAAGTTTGGTTTCTCCTTCCACGTGCCCCTTCATCTGGCTGCTGCTGCCCATAAACTGGCTGTTAAATAAACTACAAAAAATGCCAAATACAACACAAATCGAACTTAATTGAGCAGAGTCAAATGTCGTCGCTAGTGGCAAAAGGCCCGGCGATCTGGGACCCCCATAATGGCACGGCAATGGGAGCAGTGACTATTGCGGGTGGGGGGGCGACGGACGTACATACATATGTACAGATTGTTCCATCAGGCCGCTGTTACATGCGACAAGTGCACAAGTGCTCCACTTTGCTCGCTGTCCGTCCGTCCCTTCTGTCCGACCGCTGTCATTCAGAGAAGAGTTCGCGTGATAAAAAAGAAACTTGTCAATTTGTTTGCCGTTGGCTGCGGTTTGTGGTTCCTGCCACTCACCCACCAGGCCCCCCTCTCCTCCATTCGCCTCAACCGTTGGGGTTGTGGGGCTATTCTGCAGTTCTGCTTCGGTTTCTGCCTCTGGTGCCGTGTCGGGTCTGCTGGAGCACAATTCATTCAATAATTTCATTTTCCCCATTCATTGTTTTCAATTTTTTTTTGCGTTGCCTTGCGTTGCAGGGCATCCCGTCATCCCGTGCTCCACACCGATTTGGTCCATATTCGCAAAATGATAATTCAATTAAGCTCGTTAGGGGGTGGGGTGAACACTTCCATTGGCTGTGCCCCTCTGGCCCTTTCATTAGCCATCCTCCTTTTTGTCCTTTTTTTTCTGTCACGCCATTTGCCAATATGAATGCCAATTACCCGTTTACCTTTCCCACCCCGTTCACCGTCAGGACACACGGACATGGGGCAATTATCGCATTGACGATGTTGATGAGAAATTCTCGGAAAGTTGGGAAAATTCCAAGAAATTGTACACCGAGGCACCGAGGCAAATTGCAGTTGTGATGTGTTCCTGGTACGGGAAATTCAACTGGAATTCCAATGAATGAAGGATAATCGTTGCATACATATCAAATATTCGTCAGGATATCCTCAATCAATCCATTCAATCTAAAGTCGAGTGATTAGCATTGATTCATGGGCAGTGCTGCATGAATGCAGCTGTTTTTCTCTCTCTCTCTCTCTCTTTCTCCTCTGTTGATGCCGAGGCAGCTCTAATTGCGGCTCAATGGCTTTCTTTATTGCACCATTAATTGATTTACTCATAATCAAGCGCTCCTAACGTCGCCGGTTCGGGAATATCCAATCAGTGCTGCAATGACAGAATGGGCTATCGGGCGAATCAATGCCATTGTTATATGGGTGTATCCCCCATCCCCACCCCCTTTTATCATTCGATTCTCGTTTTCCGGCTGCTGTTGGGCTGGTCCTGGAGGAGAGGCAGGTCTTTGAATTGTCCTGGCCAACCGTTTTGTGCTAATGCGCTTTGCTTTTGGCCCATAAACGTGGCAGAGTTCCTCTAAAGCCGCTGACTTAATTGTGTGCGAAGTATCGGCCGGAGGTGCTGAGGGGCTGTAGCTGTCTCCATTCACACTGAAAAGCCACTTAAAGTTGCCTTTAAAACCAAAAAAAAGAAGGATAAATAACACGTTCGCGTGGGCGCTCTCGTTGAGGTGGTTGTCCTTGTCTTGCTCGTACTCGCTGCTTGCTGGCTCATGCCCTGGAAGAGCGCATACTCCGTGGTGGAAGTTGGTTGTCTCTCTCTGACTATTGTACTTTCCTTTCCAGTCTTCCATCTGCCATGTGCACATGCTGCGCATGCACTGGCTCTCGTGCTCTCTCTCGCCTGCTCGCTCGCTCTCTCTCTCTCTCCTTGGTGGGGAGAGCTTTCCTCGGCCATTGAGGAATGTGTGTGTACTTGTATGGAAAGCTTCTTCCCCATTTCGTACGCTGGTGCGCTAGGGCGGCTCCGTTGCCACAATCGTCCATCCCCAGGCGCAGTCCAGTTCCGTTAGTTCGTCCATACAGCTCCAGCCAGTTGGAGGTTTCGAGAGCGGAGTCCACACACACGCGAAACAAAACCAAACGAAACGCCAGAAAGCTTTGCCCAATGCAAATAATCGTTTAACTCTAGTTCTGTGATGTGTTCGTATTAAACAAAAGACCCTTTTTCTTTTCATTTTTTTTTGGCAATTAATGAACAATTCTTGTCGGAAGATATACGTGTCCCCCAAAGATACGATCAGCAGTTCAGTTTGGCGCTTGAATTTGTTGATGAACTCAAAGAACGTTGCAGGGGGCAAACGAATTGAATTTTCGCTTTTATTTTCCTGCACAAATTTCGCACCCGTATGAATCATGAATCATTTGGCGTGCTGGAAAACAAAATGTACAAAGAAAGAAAAAGTTTCTGCTTGTGCTTTTCACAATTTGGGCGAAACAACCAAACAATCGCCTTACCTCGCCTCCCCTCCCCTTTACGCTGCCTTGCGTCAGCATGTGCCCATTTTCCAGGCCCATCCCCTCGCGATCTCTGTACCCTGTGCCCACTGTACGTGTGCGTGCGTGTGTGTGAGCTTGTTTATGGCCACTTGTAAGACAGCGCGCCCTGGCAAGGGGAGCAGAACAGAGCAGAGCTGAGAGTGATATGAGAGGCAGTAAAAAAAAAAAAAAAAAACCAAAAAAAAAATAATGGAGCTCTGAATAATACTTTCCCGCATGTTCGAATACTTTTGCAAATATCAAACATATGCACATACATATAATCGAGGACACCAACTGCCGATGTTCCCGCAACAAAAAAGAAACGCGATAAATAAACGAAATATTCATCAATTAATTTATTGATTTTTGCATTTTCATTGCGACACATGGTGCCACATATGGACTTGCATCCATTGAGATTTCTGCAGCGAAACTTGATTTTGCGCTAATCAAAAACTCAAATCTTTGCCTTTTTGTTCCTTAATTGTACTTTTCCCCTGGGCTCAGAAAGCACTTGGAGAAAGCTTTCACACTCGCGTTTCCAACGCTCTTATTCTCTCTATTCATCTCTCTCTCTCTCTAAGAGTAGAACTTTGCTAGGAAAAACGAATTTCCCCCAAATGCAAGCGAGTATAGAGAGTTCTGTTTCGTTTTTGTGGCAATTTACCCGCTCGGACACACGGATTTTTAGTTTACAATTAGAGTTTGGCGTTGGCTGGGACCCGTTCGGGTAACGGACAGCGGATAACAGACTCCTGCATCCTCCGTGGATCAACAAATGCGCAAAAATCAAACAAAACTGAACTGTTAACTTATGTCATGGTCACTCCCGTTTTCCCACAGCACAGTGAAACCCGAATCGAAATAGTGAACAAAAATAAAAAAATACAAAAATAAAATTGCAAAAGTGAACAAAAATAGCAGAAACAATACATTTTAAAATTGGATCGCTGTGAAGTTGTTTTTAGCTGTTGGTTTTCCTTGCGACCCTACATTGTTTTTCTTCGCTGGCAACGTAGTCGGCCATTGAGTTGGCCGATACCAAACGACCTTCAAAACGTTTTGCGTCGAGGCAATACGCACCATGGGCTGCGCACAGTCTGCCGAGGAGCGAGCCGCAGCCGCCAGGAGTCGCCTCATCGAGCGCAACCTCAAGGAGGATGGCATACAGGCGGCAAAGGACATTAAACTGCTGCTGTTGGGTGAGTTGGGTGTAGGAAAAAGACTCCCAATTGGACAATGCAATGAATATTTGATTCGCACTCTGGCTATAATTAGTAAAGCATACTTAGTGGCTGCCACTGATGGGGGTATCATCATACCAATATCCATGGCATGACATTTGAAATGGAGTGAACTGGAATCGAATCATGTTCCTTTATTAATAGAATATTGTCTAATAGCCCAACCAAATACAGCTAGCAATGGATTATAATTTCTAAGGTTACGCGCAACCTCTAAAATTATTGAAAGACTTATTGATAGCATTATTAAGTAAGTCTTCACTGAATACTGAACACAAGCCTTGGCTATGTGATGTTATTTAATAGTGTGCTTTGGTTTGATTTTGATCTCTTGGAACGTCTCTATAAGGCGATGAAGGGAAAGCCCCTTTTCATTATTGATCCTGCTTATTCATGGCTATGATTCATATAACGTCGGACGGCTAAGCACTATGGGTACTCTATCATTAGATTGCAGTCTTTCTACTTCATGGCCTACCAATTCTTATAATATCGATTCTTAGATGGCAGTTGGCATTCCTTCTACTCCTGTGCCTTATGGCAAATGTAATTGCCATAAATTTTATAATCGCAATAATAATACTTGTGCATACTCCTGCATACATACATATATATTAAACGGTCAGCTTGGTTCAAGGTTATTTTGCAGCGTGGGTTTGTATTGTATTTCAATAAGCGAGCAAACACATCACCACTGCTAATATTTAGATACTAAATAGCACCAAATTCAGGTGGGAAATCCTTGGGGTAGAAAAATGCTCAAAAGGTTTTTAGCTTTCCACATAAATTGGACCACATTTTGACCAAATTTGGACTGATAATACTATAGGGAAATCGCATTCAGTTGGAACGATTGCGCTTACTCATGGGTGATGAGTAATATTCATACATGTGTACATATTTTCGATTGCTCCTTCCCCCAACTGCATATGGGGCACATGTCTCTGTTTAACCCACTCCGGCCCTGGTCCCTGCCCCCTGGCCAGCCCCTTGCATTTTTGGTGTTTACTCGTACAATTTTGTGTATTTCATTTAATTTTCTCCTCGGCCCCGGGTCCCAGTGCTTGGAAAGGAGAGGTGGGGTAAAGATATAAATTTCTGACAGTTTTGCGTGTGTGTTTTCTGTATGGAAAATGTTAATTTTCGGCTTCTGCTACTCAAGCAACACCCACTGCGGGTGTCTCTCTGTATGTTTTCCTGGTTGTGTGTGTGTGTCCGCGGGTACTGGAAATGTTTATTTAAAAAAGTTTTTCCTGCGCGCAGCGTTGAATTCATAATAATAATCAGACCAACACGTACGTATGTACACTCTATCCGTCCCCTGTCCGCGCTCCCTTTCTCCGTCTCTCTTCAATCTGCAATCCCAGAAAGCATTAGAATTAAGCACTTTGCCTTCAATTTCCACACAAACAAAACATTAATCTCAGGTGCTTCTAGTACACCCGCGCCAATCCCCACCCAGTCTTCCTGTGTTCCTTTCCTTCCTCCAATCCGATCAACGCCATAAACAACTCAAGAAAATTTCACTTCAAATCTAAACATTTTTATCGGTTCTTGTCTCGTAGCTTTTTTTTTTTCTTGCTTTGGGAACGAGAAAACTCCTCCATTGGCACTGGGCTCTTTTCTCTGATCTATTCTTAATTTTTGATTGTACCATGGAGTACTTTCAAGTGCTGGGACATTGAACCTTTGGAAGTCTTTTTTAGTGTACTATTTAATAAGGAATAGGCTGGATATGGGAGACTTTTTACTGCCAACAGAGCGAGGAGAACGTTCCTTAAATATTTAGTGTGTGCCACTAGAATGTGTTTAGCTTTAAGAGTTCGGATAAAAGTTCCCTTGGCCCAAAAGAGTTTTCATTTTTATTTGATTATATGGTTTCTATATTCAGCTTTTATCGGTACTCAATCATCAATTTGCACTCCGCTCTTTTGGCCTGGAAAAGTGATGACGAATCAGGGCTTATCTTTAGCTATCTTGGATACAGTTTTATCTGTTTAGGATGGTTCTGTTTTACCATATTTATGCTCGACAGCTGCGTTTGGCAGGGCAGTGCTTATCTCTTCAATTTTAGTGCAAAGCCCACTCAGAAGTCACTCAATTAACAAATTGCATTCAATTAGATGGGAATTTCTGTCAGAGACCAGCTGGAAAATCCTTCAGTCATCGTGGGTCATCGAGCAGAAACAGACACAGAAACAGAAACACAGAACAAGAGGAGGCTGAGTATGAGTATGAGACTGACCAGGGGCTGCAACAATTAATCCTTTGTTTGTCTTTTATCTATGTCTACTCGCATGTAAGAGTGTGGTAGGATGCCCATGGCCCTCTCTAGTTCTTTCGTTGCTTTTCTCATTTCTTTTTTACCCGACGGCAACTCAAGATGATACATTGATGATGAGGAATGATAATAATAATAGTAATGATTATGATGATGATGCTGGCCCAAGTGACGCACAACTGTGTGTTTTCAAAGGCCATTAAGCTCTACTTGAGGAATACAAAGCACAGACATTTAGTGCTCGAGAACAACTAGAGAACTGCCCCCTACATAAATATTTGTGACGACGACCCCTTTAAGAACTGCCTCAGCGATGATAATCAGACGCGGCGCAGTCGCATGCTCCTAATATAGTGATATATGTATCTGAATAACCGTGTTCTCACTCTCTATCTCCCTCCTCTATTCGCTTACATTCTAGGTGCCGGCGAGTCGGGAAAGAGCACAATAGTCAAACAGATGAAAATCATTCACGAGAGCGGCTTCACTGCGGAGGACTTTAAACAATATCGACCGGTTGTCTACAGCAACACAATACAATCATTAGTTGCCATACTGCGAGCGATGCCAAACCTAAGTATTCAGTACAGCAATAATGAGCGGGAGGTAAGACCCAGACCCACTGAATCCACCATTTACAACACAGAGACTCATCCTCTTTCTGTTCTCTGCCTTCTCCTTGTGACTTACAGAGCGATGCTAAAATGGTGTTTGACGTGTGCCAGCGGATGCACGACACCGAACCCTTCTCAGAGGAGCTGCTGGCCGCCATGAAGCGTCTCTGGCAGGATACTGGCGTCCAGGAGTGCTTCTCGCGCAGCAACGAATACCAACTGAATGATTCCGCTAAATAGTGAGTACCGTGCATGATTATCTAGCCATCTCTGGGTGCCTTTAGCCAATATTGCGGATATGTGGCAGGCAAAATCAGTCCCGGGACTGAAACACGTGCGACCCACTTTGCCACCGATCTTTCCTGTTGATGATGATGTTATATATAACCTACATATGCCAGTCCAACGCAATTACGTGATTTTTGCAGTTTTCCATCTTTATGCCTTGGCCCTCTGCCCAAGGTCAAACATTTGATAGTTCTGCCTGGATTTCTTTCGATACTTTGCCATATTTGTTTGTCCTTGCTGGTGTGCGCCACCCACTGAAAGATATTGTCTGTTTAGTTTAGTTGCCAGTTAAATAATACTTATATACTATGTACATATAATGACCATTATGGGTAGGATGACGAATCCTCCGCAAGGCACATTCTGGACAAATGATGCATAAGATCTCCTCCATAGGCGAATTGTGCAAAAGTCATTTCTTTACGATTGCGATGGTAGCAAAGATGGGCTTTAGCTACTGTTGGCTGCATAAATAAATTCCACTTTAAATAGAAAATTCCATCAATTATACCTTGACAAGGCCAAGACAAATTATTTTATAATTTCACAATTACGAGTGTGACTTTAGTCGTGTGATCTTTGCTTTCTGTGGCAGCACATAATTAATCAATGGCTTGTATTAGTTGATGGGGAAAGACAAGCCGCTTGAGGCGCGTACAATCGAAATAACTTTCACAGTCTACGCCCTTTCCAAGTCACTCAATGATTAATGACCATCGCCGGCTACGAATAACCATCAAAAATACTCGTACATTATGTTGTTTTAATATTAGACCAATAGTAGTCGGGCCATATATACATATTTATATTTATACTTATCCTTAAACTTATATTTACACGATTTATGGAGCTACACGCAGACGCCAAGATATGAGGTTGTGGTAATGCTTCAAGAATGTTGGGAGTGTTGGCTTTATGTACATTTGCTTAATTAAACAAAAACGTCGGAGCAGCGCGGCTGCAGCGCCTCGACTATAAGTATCACCCATCCGCCGTGTGACACAGACCCCGAGAGAGGGGTTCGCTCTTTCTCTCTCTCTCTCTCTCTCTGGCATATCCGTGCCGTGTCCGGCTTAGTCCTCCCGCAGAGTTAGCTTGAAATTCAGCGGGGACTGCGGAATGTACGTGGAATTGACGCGATACACAAATTCCCCGGAACTGTACGAGACCTTGTATTTGCGGAAGATCTGTGGCAAAAAAAATATAACATTAAAGGGGGTGGGGGACGGGACGGCATTTATCCTGTGCTGAGACTGTACCTTAGCCAGCAACGTGTGCAATTCAATTTCAGCGAAGCGACGGCCCACGCACATGCGACGACCAAAGCCGAAGGGCAGGCTGACAAACGGATGAATCTTGTGGCTGGCGTGGGGGCATCCAACTGCAAAGCAAGGGGAGGTGGAGGCAGATGCAACATCCGGATCAGCAGTCGGAACCGACGGGGAGGGGGGGTAGGAAAGTGGAGCACTCACCTGCCGCAGCAGCGGTTTGTTTGAGCCAACGCTCGGGCAGGAAGCGCTTGGGTTCTGGGAAATATGCGGGATCATTTGACACCACCAGATGGGGGAAGATTACGTGCGTCTGAAAGGTGAAAGAAGGTCTGTGAAATGGCAGGGAGCCATGGAAACAGTCAGTGGAGGGAGACTTACGCCCTTGGGCACGTGATAGCCGTTGATGACCGCGTCAGACTGGAGGCTGCGACCATTCGCAATCACCACGGGGCGCATGCTACGGAAGGGAACGGGACATGGATTAGCGACCAGCAACGCAATCAGCAATCAGGGCCGCCTTACCGCAGCGTCTCCTTCACACAGGCCCGCAGATAGGGCATCTGCTCGAGGACGTTCTGGTTGATCTCGGCCTCGCGATTCGGGAACAGCTTTTGCAGCTCCTCGAAGAGGCGCTTCTGCTTGTCGGGATTCTTGGCCAGCTGGTAGATGGTCGAAGATGCGGCCACCGATGTCGTGTCGACCCCAACCAGGAACAGATCCAGAGCCAAGATAGCGGCCAGCTTGCGGTTGCCCGTCTTCCGCACAATTCTCTCCACAATGGAAATGTCCGCCTCGGATTTGGGCAGGGCCTTGGCCTCATCTGCCGTAGCCTTGTCCATTGTCTGGTCGATGTTCTTCATGCAGATTCTAGGGTAGAATATATTTGTATATTATGATATGTGAGTGGATATAGACAGCAGACAGCTGATCGTCTTACGCGGTGAACTGATCGAGTGCCCGGACAAAGCTGCGGTAGGCCTTCGTAGGGTAGATGCGCCACAGAGGCATTCGCAGCTCCAGCTCTGGCACCGCCCAGAAGAACGTGTTGATGGCATCGATAATCTGTTGGGCCTCCTCGCTGCCCTCCGGCGAGAGACAGCCCAGGCGCGTGTCCAGCGAGACGCGTCCGACAGCTGCAAGACACAGACGCAGACACACAAACACTCGTAAGGATCGGCAAAGGGAGAAACTGTTTCGAGAACTCACATTCCAGGGCCCATTTGTAGAGCTCGTGCAGGAAATTGGATGGCAGCTCGTCCTTTTCGTCGCGCATCGCCTCAATGCTGCAGCAGAGACATTCAACAGAACAGAAAAGAAAAGAACAGAACAGAACAAAAATGTAGATGGCATAACGGCTGAGAGATGGTCAGATGGTCTCATTCCTAAGACGGGACGGGAAGGACTTACCGGCCCATAAATTCGCTGGCAATGTCGTTCAGCGGCGGAATGTACTTCTTGGCCGTTTGCGGCTGCAGCAGGATGTGTTGCACCTCCTGCCTGAAGGCCTCCCACTTGGGTCCGTGGCTGGGGGGGGTAGACACGAGTAGTTAGGGTTATTTATGTTTGTATGCTATGCCGCAATATCCGTTATATAAGCACATTACTTACACGCCAATTAGGCCGGCCACATCGCCAAAGAAATCGCGTCGCAGGTCGCCCTTGTAGTGGCGCAGCGAGGGCATCGAGGGTCTGTGGCGAGAACGAGACGAGAACAAGTGTGGAAAATGATAGAAAAAACAGAGAAAAATTGTATGTTCACATGAGCAACATGAGCAGGCTACTGGCTACTGGCTCCTCCCTGCTCTTGGCCTCTTCTGGGCACGGAGGCGGACGCCTGCCTGCCTGCCTGCTTGCCCTTGCGTGCAGACAGACCGGCGACGACAACATCAAACACATATTTTCCACTAAAATACACACAAAATGAAGCTATTTCTCGCTGTCCCGCTCTCGGTTCGCCCCCATGGCTCTCGGTATACAATATTTGCATGATATTTGTCGTCTACTCGCATGTCGCAGAATAAATAAAAGAAGCAGCCTATTTATTGGCTTTTGTTTTACCCTGCGCACACTGCCATCCATCCAGCAATTGTTTGCCATTCCGCTGCTCGTAGGCGGGTTGCTCCGGGCAACAGCATGCTCGTACTCGTACTAGCACTCGCACTCGCACTCCTATTATATTGAATGTCAGATCCCCCGACCGTGAGTGACGACTGACAATCTGTCGAAGTGTGTGTGTTTGATTTTATGTGGCCGTCCGTTTGTTTGATTTTGAAATGGTGAAAAAGGCCTCGGAAGTGTTCAAACCTCTTTTTTGGTAAGAGTTCGATCGGAATTTGCATCTCAATTTCGATTCATCCCAGACCAAATTGAATATTCATTTATCGAGCTATGCAAATCGTAATAATGGCAAGTTACGAAAAAAAAAAAAAAACTGGAAAAGTGGGGAAAAAAAGCGGTAAGAATAGACGATAAAACATACATGTACATTTATTAAAAAGTGTGGCAACGAGTCTGGAATGACAACTCAGAAAACCAGTCTGCCAGACCCCGAATCTAAACACGAATCTGTCACAATCGGAACTCTAACCATGCCATGCTTGTCCCTCGTTTTGGATAGTCGGATGATAGTTTTTCCCACAAGCAAACACATTCCTTTCCGGGTTTTATGAGCCCCATAAAAATGCACGCCTCTAGCATGCTCTTACTCGTTTCTTTCGGACTCGCGGACAAACCTTAAAGTGAAATATCTTCATCAATCAGTTAGTGCGTCAGTCAGTGAGGCAGTAAGCCAGTACGCCAGTAAGGCACTGAGCCAGTAAGGTTGGTGGTCAGTTTCATAGTTTCACACTTCTTCGCCGGGGGTTCCATTCATCAATCTCTCAGTCGGACAATGACAGTCCGGGGTTGGGGTTGGGGTTAGTGTTTGCGCATTACGTTAATGTTGTCTCATGTCCAATCTATTAGCGATTCTTTTCAGCCATTTTCATGATGACTTGCCAAACGTACCGCCGAATACAAACAAAAAAAAAAAAAAAAAAAAAAACTATTTGGTTTCTGCGCGCCGTTTGCGATTCGCTATTTCTGTATTGATTTGTGGCAGGGCGGGCAGGACAGGGCATGGCAGGCATTTAGTTGTTGTTGCTGTCTATAAACTGTTGGAAACGTAACTTGTTAAATTTGGTTCATGGCCATGGAGATACATGGAGATATATGTATGTACACATCTCGATACACTCGATAGGAGAGAAAAGAAAGCTTATAAAAGCTATGAGCATGTTGCCGGTCGATCTGTGTGACTTTCGTTTGCTTTGCTTGCTTGTTGTCTTCTTTCCTCCTTCTTTCTGGTTATTTCATATATTTCATTGATGCAAAAACAAAAACAAATAATAAACTGCGAAACGGTCTGTTTTGGTTTTTATTTTGTTTGGATTTGCGGCATAGAGCTAGGCCTATGCCAGAGAGCCAGCGTTTGACAGAAGCGTAGAAGTGAAAGTTTCAACTAATTTCAATTTAATTTCTTATTTTAATTCCACACAAACAGTGCAACATTTAAATCTCGTTTTATATGGAAAAAGCGAATTCCCATTCCTTAAATTTTTATAATAATTTAATTACGAACTGCATTCGATATGCGCATAAATAAACAGGAACTGTACTGCGGACGGAGACGTGCATATGGGCATGTGGCCCATGCATGACTGATTGTGTGGCCATGCGTGCGTGTGGATGTGTGTGTGTGAATGGGTGGGTGGGCTGTTTGCTCTTATGCGTGGGGGGTGGATGTACCACACGAGCAAGTGCAGCCATGCAGACCCATTACATGCAATGCAGTTCATTTAATTAACCTGTTTTAATGCGAGACCATTTAATAAATGTACAGCAAATTAAAGCGAATCAGGCTCTTCTCCATTTCCACTGTTCAAGGACTAGCGAGAACTACAATACAAAAAAATCGATGACCTCGGGTCACTTACCGGTGTGGCATGGCCTCCTCCTTCTTGAATATATTCCGTATCTCATCGCCGTCGAAGACGAACAGCAGATCCGGATGACCAATAAGGCCACCCACTTTGGCCATTTTGCCGTAGTTGACATGCAGCTCATTCATAACCTTGTCCAGCTCGCTTATCTTGTACGTTCCTGCAAGGCACCAGTGGCGTGTGAGAGGGGTGGGTGGGCAACGGGATGATTTGATGACTTACCAATTAGTGGGGCGAAGCGCCAGGAGTTGCCTATCAGGGGTAAAGGATATGGACCAGGCACCTCCGAGTAGGGGCGCACTCCGGCCGTCGAGGATGCGGTTCTGGCTGCTGTCGCTGCATCCGTTGCTGCTGCTGCTGCAGTGGCTGCCATGTGACTGTCAATTAGTGCAAATTATAGAAGAGTCGGAGGAGGAGCTCTCGTAATAAGAAAATCATTTACCTGACATTTAATTTCTTCTGATTTGCCGGCGACTCCGAGTGCCCCGGTCGCAGTCGCTGCCTTGCAATGGATTTTTCAATTTCCGTTGCCACCCCCACGCCAGTGGGTGGAGCAGCCCCCTCCACGCTCGTAGTCGCACCAGTGCCCGCATGCGGCAGCATCGTCGTGGTGGCGGAGGCCGAGTAAGTGGAGCGCCGCATCAGGGCAATGGAGGTTTTGCTTAGGGCCGACATCTTTCCTTCTACCGGTTCAATTCTGTGGGAAAAAAAAAAAAATATTATGTAACAAGAGAGAAAAAAAAGGCAAACGCAATTAAGGCGAAGCTTCCAATACTCCTTCGAAGAGTGATTTTCTACAGAAGCTAGATACTCTACAAATACGAGACTAATTCGGATATTAACAGACAATCTATCGTATAGAAAGTTTCACAAGTCGCTGCCGCAAAAAAAGAGAGAGCCAAACTGAATTGTGTGGCTTATGTTTTAGTTAGCTCTCAAAGTGCCTCTCCTGCGGAAACTTTTAATGCATTTCCCAGTATTTGCTTAGCACTGTTTGCGCTGGCGAATCAATCAATGTGAATGGGGGGAGAGACTATTGAGGCTTATGCTCTCAGCGCTCCCTACCCATCCCCTAGAATGCCCTCTAGAATCTGTCAAGCAGCAGTGGAAGGTTTTTGGTTGATGTGCTAATATTGTGTCCATAGTTTAGGCCGCTGCACGCTCACAGTCTTTGCTGCCTGGGATCACAGAGATGACAGCACTTAGTTCGAGCTAGTTGCCACACAAAAAACAAGGCAAACAATCAGGGATTGTCCCTAATCTCCGGGGGGAATACGAGAGCATACAAACCGATGGCCAGGGGCAGAGACAAGGGGGCTCTGTGTTATGGCATATTCAATTTTATCGTCTCAGTCAATGGGCAAGTGGCGGCCACCAACCGTGAAATTGTGCACAACTCTACAAAACCCACAACAAAAATATGAATTTAAACAAAGAAAACACACACACAAATTGAAGAGTTATTGAAGTAGCACCTAGTTGAGGGCCAAGCCAAGACTACACCTGGCCAAGACTTAGTTTTTGCACGGAATGTATATATGTTTACGATCACATAATTGAGTACTATTAAGCTGCACTTAAAGTGTTTTTCTAAACAAATACTCGTAGAGTTAAGCTAAAAGATTGTTGGACGAATATCCAGAAACCAGACCAAACCAGACCAAACATTTCGCCATCTAAAGAGATGCAACTTAGCATATGATTGAAACTAATTGAAACTTAAACTCAATTTCCCAAGAAACGTGACATTGCAAGTGTACACTTTCTTTTGCTATGATTTCCTCTTCATTTCAAAAGTTAATTTGTAATTTGAAGAACATTTTCTTTTCCCAGTGACTGCAAACCCCGATGGGATTTGACCTTTATTTTTTTACATATAATGTAAGGAAAATGTAAGGTTCAGATAGAAAATACTGGAAAAGGCTTGCAAATTTAATATTTTCTGTTCGGTGCGGATGACTAAAGGCTGCCTTTTTGCCCTTCAGCTATCCGCGTAGTGCAGAAGCACATCAATGCGGGCGCACCACCATCTCTCCTCCCCCCCGCAGACCACAGACCGCAGGCCCTCAAGGCTGCCAAAGAGCAGCAAATGGAACCAAAGATTGCTCATACGCCGCGTGCTCCGTCGAACAACAACAGTGGCAGGGAATGGAGCAGCCTACGCTTTGGATTCGAATTTTCCTGCGCCTGCTCCCTGAGGATAAAACATATAATTTAAATGCCGAAAATGTGATGAAACAGAAATCTGCACACACACACACACACACACACAGCCCCGCTTTTCCCGTTATTATTCTTTCTTTTATTTTGTGTGTACCCTCAGGCACAATGGCAGCGAAGCTTATCCTTGCCCTTGCCACACAAGCCACACAAGCAGCGACGCGACCTTGAGCACTTGTGCCAACAACCAAACTATCTTTGTGTGTGCGCGTGGGTGTGGGTGGCTGCTTTTATCGCCAGTTGGTTATAATGAACTTGAGTGATAATCCTAGCGCCTGCGAGTAATGCAGGAGAAATGTCAAGCAAAGCAGAGCAATTGTCGTTGACTTTTATGGGCCATTGTTCCAAGCAAGAAGAGAAACAGGCTGTTGGATGTGGGCTGCTGGCTGCTGGCTGTTGGCTGGAGGAGACAACTACTGCTACTGCTGCTGCTGATGCTCCACCTCTGAGTTGTTCGTTACACTCGAATGAATCCGAAATGGAAATGAAAAATTCTTCCCTAAGGCCAGTTCTATTAGCATTCGCCTGTTAAATTGGGGGGAGAATCTGGAAGTTTTTGCAGCAGCTGTATAGCTCTCATCTACCCTAGATTATGTCACACATCTCGCAACATCTTTCAGCTATTGACTTTCGCGAATGGTGTCTCTGTTGACCCGGAGGTGTGGCCGTAACCGTATCTGCATCGGAATCTGCCTCAAATTCATATTCAAATTTGACTTTCGTACTGCCACCACTCTGCCTCTGTCTCTGCTCTCTTTCGACAGATTGGCTGAATGCCATTGGAAATAGACTTTAACTTGTTTTCCTTTGCGCGGCGGACTCACCCAAATTAAGTTGAGTGGAGGGGTAGGGGAAAGAAAACGCCTCGTGGAAATTATACACTTCGAATCGTTTTCCACGGACTGCCACGCCAGTTGGATGAGTTTCTTTCGACTCCGTAGACGTTTTCTTTTATTTTGTTTGTGCACAATTAAATCCACTCTGGGGCGGCCGTCTTTTGTTGCCGGTTTCTATTGTTGTTTGGCCAATTACCCACTCAACACAAAAAACACTCGGCCGGACGGAGCAGAGATTCGCAAAGTCTTTTGTCATGCAGCCCGAAACTTGTTGTTGCCCGGCGATACCGAAACGCTATAAATGGAGCTTTATGGAGGAGCTGCTGCTGCTGCCTCGTAGACCAACCGCGACGCACTAAACGCGATCGTCGAGCTTCTTAGTCTACTTATACGCGTCATCACCACCAGCGAAGCGACGTTGCTGCCAACGCTACGGCTGCTGCCTCTGCTGCGGTGCAAAGCGTCAACGTTTTGGCGCTCTTTTGTTGGTTTTGTTGTTTAAGATGCTTCTGCTAATTGCCGCTGCTGCGCCTCTCTCTCCTGTCTCTCCCATCTCTCCCATTCGCTAGCATTTTATTTTCTGTTTTTGTAATACCAAAATATTAAATTAAAATTGAAAGTGTTTTTGATACTGCTAATCAGAGGGCAACAATTTGGGCATAGCAAACCAACCTTTTCGTGATTGACATTAATGAGAGAGAGAAAGAGAGAAAGAGAGAAGCGGCTCTCAAGTAAGGGGCGGGGGCATGGGCAGGTGGAGGCGGAGGCAGTTATGCAAAACAAATAAATTATTGTAAAACTGAAATTTGCTGAAACTAACGAGCCATTTGCATGGCCAAATTGCGCGCAAATCACTTAATTGAAAATGAGGTAAAAAGCTAACAAAAAAAACTCAACAGAAACACATTAATCCACAATCTTAGTTAAACTGGTAAGGAAATGAGTTTTGGTTAGTGCCCGCCACAACTTGAAAGAGCTGGCAAAATATTTTGCCAGCCTTTAACCATTAAGAGAAAAGTCTCAGATAGATACATAAATATTTATGTGTGTATGTGGGTATGTACCTAAGCTTTGTCTCCATCAGAAGATTGAAGAAGAAAGTTGGTTTAACTTTGTTGCCGATGGTTTTATACTCGTATCAAGTGGAAATTCAAGCAAATCGTTCTTAAAGCCTGGCCCACTTTCCCTTCGTGCATGTGAATGTCATATCGACACGATCTCCTATCCATCAGCATAGTGCACGCATCAGCCACCTGCCAGCCATAGATTACAACACATTTTCCGGGCTCACATAAGAGTCTGTCTGCGGTCAAACAATAATAAAGAAAGAAAACTTTTATGACGGACATGTTAAATGTGATCTCGATCTCTGCCTACCAAGTGCTAACCATGTGATTGCTCAATCGCTAGCTATTGGATCCGTTTTGGAGCCCTCTGTAAACGTTTGTCTAAGAAATTGTAACAGAAATGCGGTCGGCCGGTCGCTTATGCAGTTTTGCTCATGCCCCAATCCCAGTCAGTCCCAAGCGCCGAGACTCTGCGAAACTTTTCCGCTTGAATGGGGAGCTTCTTCTGGTTGTTTGTAGTTGCTGTGGTTTTGTTATGCCAGGGCGAGCATGACTTGGCCAATTTTCTCGGCCAGCCGCAGAGTTGCCAGACTGCGAGTCGGCGAATTGCTTCCAGCTAGCCTCGCAGTCCCCTTCCCACCCACCGGATATTATGAATATGATCGGTGGGGCGTATTTTGGCGGCGTTGTTGCGCAATTGTGCGTGTAATTTAGGCAGTTGACCAACGAATGCCTGACCAAGTCAACAAGAGATCCCATGCGATAACCGCAATGAGCGCAGATTCCTCACCCAGGCCCATTCCAGGTGAAAGAAAGAGAAAACCTTCAAAACTATTTACGACTTGTCTCAACCCGACCCAAGCAACAAATGAAATCAGCTGCCCCACTACGCTGGGCCCAGGTCTGTCGTGCCTTTTGCCCTTTTTTGACGAAGGCATTGCGTGCCTCACGTTAATTACGGCCAAAATACAAGAGTATGCGCATGCTGGAATGGACCAACAACCACTCTGGAGCTGGGCAGCAGCAGCAGCTGGACACTGCGGACCTCTTGGGCGACCTACTTGTTGGGTGGGGGGGGGCGCACTCCACAACACGCAGCCTCCGCTGCTGATGCTAACGCTGACTGATGACTGAGGGGATGACTGTGTGACTAGGGCTAGAGTGGTTACACAACCGGCAAATAAAATGAGTAACCAGCAAAGTTGCAAAGCTTGATAACTCGCATTCATCTGTTGACACGGAGATTAGAACCAGAAGCCGAACAGTTTACTCCGTGTTTCTCTTTGGCACTAATTGAACGGAAATGAAAATCATTTTGAATAACCAAATTAACATTTATGTTAGCCAATTCGTACGACGATGTGATGTAATCTTTTACGTACACTGAAAATAGGTGACATATATGTATGTATGTAGGTGGCAGCAGCAGTCCTAGATTAAATTTGAGATTGTTGAGATTTCGCTCACTTGATTTCCATTTTTGGGGGCTCATTTTCTCTATTTGAGAATTGTGAAATTCTTTCAACTATATCCGCGTTCTCCCCACACTGCAGGCAAATGGAAAACATTTGTGTGTTTGCTGAGCAAGCTTTTATTTCTCCTTTTGTGCGTGGCTGGACTTGCGCAGTTTTTTTTTCGTTTTAATTGTTTGCTCAGCGCTTTGGTCTGGGCCCTAATTGTTTGCTCAGGACTCGAGAGAGGTGGCATAGTGGTATGCGATGGCGTTGCACAGGAGGGGGGAGAGGACGAGACAGACAAACATTTGTCTGGTCAAGCGATGTGTGGACGAGTAAAATTCGGTATTTGAAATATTTTTTGTGTGCTCTTTTGTCTTGCAGTTTCCTGGACGATTTGGATCGGTTAGGCGCCAAGGACTACCAGCCAACTGAACAGGATATCTTGCGTACTCGCGTCAAGACCACTGGCATCGTTGAGGTTCACTTCTCCTTCAAGAATCTCAACTTTAAGTAAGTGTCAAGGAGCAGCCCTCCCACTCCAGTCCAATCGTTGGTCGTTGGATTATGGCACTAATATTAATACCCTTTGGGGCAATTGCAGATTGTTTGACGTGGGCGGCCAGCGTTCTGAGCGTAAGAAGTGGATACATTGCTTTGAGGATGTCACGGCGATCATTTTCTGCGTGGCCATGTCGGAGTACGATCAGGTGTTGCATGAGGACGAAACTACGGTATGTTTGAGGGAGTCCCTGCCACTTCATTGATTCCACAACTGAAAATGGATTGCTGCATTTCACTTTCAGAACCGCATGCAAGAGTCGCTGAAGCTGTTCGATTCGATCTGCAACAACAAATGGTTTACGGACACTTCGATCATATTGTTCCTGAACAAGAAGGATTTGTTCGAGGAGAAGATACGCAAGAGTCCACTGACAATTTGCTTCCCCGAGTACACAGGTGAGTGGCCACACAGCAACAATCTTTCGGTGCCTTTTAGCTGACTCTGAATCTTTTCTGTTTTGGTCGGACAGGGGGACAGGAGTATGGCGAGGCGGCTGCATACATCCAGGCTCAATTCGAAGCGAAAAACAAATCAACCTCAAAAGAAATCTACTGCCACATGACGTGTGCCACAGATACCAACAACATTCAGTTTGTGTTCGATGCCGTCACCGATGTCATCATAGCAAATAACCTGCGCGGCTGTGGACTGTACTAAGCGATTGGTTGCCGGGACATGTGGAGCATGTGGACGTGGATATGGACGACGATGTGGAGCAGATTGGGGGCGTTAGCAGGGAACACCGTAACGGTATTAAAGAGCAGCGCGGGAGCACAACAACCCACCAGCATTGATCAAAAACAAAAGAAAATTTAAGAGCAAACGATGATAGAACCAACAAACAAGCAAAGCCCAAAGAACTTTTATTTGTTTAACAAAGCAAACAGATGATCCCCGAGTATGATGGGAGAACATGCAACAAGTACATTATAATATTGATCCAGATAAGATAAGCAGATTAACAATGCTAATGCAGATCACAGATCGCGATCAAGATCGGGTACGATCGGTGAATTGGATAGGCAGCTGACACTGAGCCATAGACAAGCAGTTTGATTGAAAGCATTTCCTATATACATAAATACATGCATACAAACATATACATACATACACACATACATACATATGCATTATGCAAGCCCCATGTACGACATGACAGCCATAACACACAACACACACAAAGCAAACACGCATAAGCATCGCATAGTTGTTGTTTGGTCTGAATAATTTTTATAGAATTTCATTAATTTACGTGTAGCTTAGTTTCCTCATGTATTTATTAAACGAAAACCAAACGAGCGTATATATATATATATATATATATGTGTATATGAATGTACACACACCTACTTATATATATATATATATATGTATTTATATATATATACATACATACATAATATATATTTAATGTTTCCTGTTGCAATCTCTCTTTGAAATTATTCATGCCATCAACGCTCTCTGCATTTGTCGTGCTTGCTTAGACTTAAGTTTTGAAAAGTTTCAACAACAAGAACAACCAGAACAAAGTAAGAATAATAATAATAATAATTATTTTGATTGCGTTGCGTGTCAGCGTGTGGGCAAAAGTAAATATACATATATTATATGACATTAACATGAACAAACCAAAATGGGAAAATATAAGAAAACATAACATAACATAACACTCACACAAAAGTAATGAAAGAAAATCTTTAAAGTTTAAGTCTAATTTAAAGATAAATGAAACGGATATAAATCTCTATCTATTGTATTTACAAACCCAAACTAAACTTAACTAAACTAACAAAAAATGTAAGAGTAACGCAAAGCATATGTGGCCACTTAACTAACTTGTGTAAAAAGCAGCAGCCATCAATGATTGATGCGTTTCAATGTATGTAAATTGTAATTTGTTGAATTTACGTGTATAGGAGAGGTTTAGCTGGCATACACACAACACACTAAACACACACACACACGCACGCACACGGACAGGACGCACACAAATTTCATTTGTATTCACTTAACGCTGATTTATTGTAATTAAACGAATTTGTTGCATTTATTTATACATACATAATTACATAGTACATACATACATACAATTAAAAAAGCAAAGCGCACCTCAACTCTGGCAGCGCACAAAAGCATGCTATACTTTTGCCATGTCTCACACACACACACAAACCCAAACAAAAAAATCAAATGCAATGGGAAACTCAAACCAGACAAGTCTCCCCCACAATGAAAACTACGGATGATTGTATGTAATAATATTTACAAATTGTACGAACAATGCATATGTATGTATGTACAGTTGTATTTAGCGAATGGCATTTAACCAGAGTCCCGAGTATGTTGTAATTGTTTGATTAGACTTATTATTGTAATTATTATCTTTACGAGTACTTTTGTATATGCTTCGTACACTGTGCATTTGATTTTACTGAATCAGTTAGCTGCAATGAATTTATATTGTTATTTTGATAGTATTTTCTTTTGTATGTACTCCCTATCCCAGTCCTATTCCTTCCCCACCTCCTCCTACTACTTGAAGGCCCCTGTACCCTTGTGCTCTTGCTCTAGTTGGACAAATCCATTTATGTTTTATAGTTTTTAAGTCTAATTTATGTAAACGCACACAAACACACACACCACTTAAACAACAAATAAGTAAGTTTATTAGCGAAATAAATATTTTTTGACATTCAGCAAAAGATTCAACAATTTGCGCCAAAGCTTGACGAAATTGTTTGCATTCTTTGGCAGTCCCAAAACTGTCTGCATTAAGGCAAACCGCATCCTTTTCCGTAAAATTACGTTGACCTTAATCTTACCTCCAATCAGTGGTTCGTTTTGATTCGGCCAGCCAGCCAATTTACCATTTACATACCCTCTAACGAACCCAGCCCTACCCCACTCTATTTATCCTAGCCCAGCCCAACCAAATACTGTAATATTTAATACGTATGTATTTTCCATTCAACTTGTATAATTCTACCAAAAGGAAAAACAAAACAAAAACTAAAAAAATAAACGCAAAATCATTTTCAATAAAAACTATTTATTCAAAAACAAACAAAAAACCCACATATTAGATTTTCTTTTAGTTTTTGTTCCATGATTTCTTACAGCCAGAGAGCGAGAGTGAGAAAAGGTTTTGTTGGCCATGTTGCATGCCCATAGAGTTGGAATGTGAGTGGATGGATGGCTGCTGGCCATGAAGTACATAATTAAGGAACAACCGCAGACCAGTAGAAGATCACGAACTAAGGGTTCAATAATTGTATGTAATGATATATTTAAATGAAAATTAATATATTTATTGACAATTTAAGCCACAACAAAGTTATTCATTTACCTTCGAGACAAAGCAAAACAAATCGATCTATATACAACTTTATATACATTACATTTATGAAAGGAGAAACATATAATACCTACACACATACATACAAACATACATATGTACTATATTTTTCTCGTAATTATAACTAATGGAAAATACTCAAGTGCAAGTGTCTATAATTTTCCTCCTCAAAGAAGCTCAACTCTTGCAAGACGAGAGAACGCAAACTATTTAACTGATAAAACAAACATTAAAATATTACTAATAGCAACTTCATTCAAATTCAATCATAGCATAGCATTAAACGCAGTAAATCAACTAACATTTTGCATATTTTCAATAATAGACAGAATAGATACAATAACAGTTCATATTTTTCTAAGCTCATACACCTCTTTGCTCCACACACTCACAAGTCGCAGCACTACTAAAATTACTTTAATAGCAGTTAAAACAATTCCAAGTGAGTTTCATGAAAATACATACATACACCCAGAGAAAAGGCAAAACTTAACTAATGTGAATTACTCGTAAATCAAACCAAATGTCGCAGGACATTTCAGACGCATGATTTTTTGTAAGAGGCAAAGAGGCCAAAGAAAAATGAATGGAGAAATGGGTAAAATTAAACCAAGAAGTGATTGAGGAGGAGGAGAATGAAAATGAGTTGGAAGTGAAACCATAGGTTAGAAAAAGCTTAGGAGTTGTATCTAATCTAATTTGTAGCCTAATTCAAATTGCTTTTGTTGTCCCTTGCCGCAGATCACATTTATTTCACTTGTATATGGCAAATATTTATTATACAATACCATGCATGTGTGGGAGATATAATTCTCCACAGTTTTGAGCTCCTTTACTCTCTCTAATGAACCACGTGGACAATGTGTAGCTAGTGGCCCAGTTTTAATTAAAAATGACGCGAGCCACAGAATCTTACTAAGCTCGATAATGGATGAAAGAGATTAAATCGTTGAATTACAAATTTAATATATATATATAAACTTAATGATATAAAAACAAAAATAACAAAAAATAAAATCCCTAATGTTTGTATGTAAAAGAAACTCAAAACGTTAGAGATCATCTAAAACTTAAATAAATATAAACAAAAAAAATAAAAAACACGAAAACTGTACTAATTTATTCCCCAAACAAATTCCATCTTACATATGTAAATCAGTTTTCCCCTTATCCAGTCATTTTTGTTCCAGAAAGCCCGCCTTGTACTCCATCAGATAGGCTCTCCCCCAGCTAGACGCACAGACAGGACAAGATGTGTGTCATTAGGGCATAAAATTCATTTTTAGACACAAAACACTTAATTAGCTCATCCCTTGCTGGGGTACAGTCGCAGTAACACCTTCTATCCATATGGCCCAATATCGATATTGTCAGGTAAGAAACTTAAAGGCCATAAAGCAGGAACGCGGAAGATATAAAAAACACATTTTGCAGAATTTTGTCAAAGAACATACGAGGGTTCTTCAGAAAGTGTTCCCCGAGGCAGGTCTCTTAGACTGCAGATTCTCTGAAGTGGTTTTTCTCCAATGTCCGTTTTCCACAGTACCAGAAGAAATCTTTGTTTTATTCTCATATAACTAACATAAATGTCTTTCTCCATGCCGTACCTTGAGTTTTATTTTTTTGTTTTTAATAATTTGGGTATAACTTTTTAATTCTATAATTCTTTTATGACTAAGCTATTGCTCTGCCTATTCCAGCAGTTTCTTTTTCGACTTGGGCGTGGAGATGGTTCGCAAGGAGACCCGCCTCGGCGTCTTACTGTTGGGCGTTGAAGGTTTAGCTACTGTCGCTTTAATAGGGGTCTGCGCCTCCTCCTGGGTGTCCTCATAGACCAGACGAATATCCTCCGTGTGTTCACAGGTGCTCTCACTGATGGAAACTGGATTCTTTGCTTTCTCATTTGTCTCCGGCAACGTTTCCTTCATCGACGTTGGCATGGGGCGTGCTTTCCTCTTCGAGGGGCCAAGCATCCATAGCCTCTTCCATAGGGGCCACTGGAGAGTTGACAGGCATTTCGACCAGTACGCGGGGAGTACGCCTTACTGCAATGGGCGTTGCTGTTTTGGCGGGTTGGCTCTTGGGTGTGAGGGAGAAGCTACTGGAGCTTCCGGGAGTGCGGGGTTGGCGACGAACTTGAATGGGGGTAGCAGGACGGCATTTCTTCTCAGGCGACTCGAACTTCTCCTCAGAGCTGATTATCTCCTTATCCAGAACAGCAATACCTGCGATATCCGACTGATGCTTCTTTGTTGGAGGCTCTGGCATTGGGCTGCTCTTACGTTTTACAGAAACCAACAAGTCCTCCGTCTTATCGGGCATTTGGTGTGTGGGGATTTGTAAGTGTGTTACTATTTTATTATCCAGAACAGCAGTGCCATCGATGGTTGTCAGATGCTTCTTTGTCGGAGGCTCTTTCAGTGGACTGATCTTGCGTTTCCCCGATATAGGTAAGGCTTCGGTGTCCTCCGTTTTTCGTGGTGAGCGGCGTATGGGAATGGGTGTTGGTGTCTGACTGTCGGTTGTCCCTGAGCCAATTTTGCGCTTGACAGAGATCTGTGAGGCGCTAACTTCCGAATCTTCAGGCTTACGCGGCGAACGGCGTATTGCAATCGGTGCAGGTATGGTCGTTGCGGTGACTTTGCGAGGGGAACGCCTAAAAGAGATCGGTTTTGGCTTGACCTCTACCTCTGCTTTCGTCTTCTGCTTGGGGCTCGTGGAGATGGACGAACTGGCACTATGCATGGAGGAATCATTTTCGGCATCAATATCAATCTCTCTAACTTCCTTAATGTCTGACTCAGAGGTCTTCCTTTTGAGATTGGGCTTGGTCTTCTCCTGCAATGGTTTGCGTGTGGTGGAGGGTCTCTCATCCGCCGATACCTTTCTAGCCCTCACTTTCTTTTTCTTTGGCGGCGGAGCATTCTCGGAACTCTTCAAGGCAGCGCACAGCACTGCATCCATTTCCTCATAGCGATCGCCCAATTCATCGATCTCAAAGTACAACAGCGAACAGAAGCCATCCGTGCTGGAAACAATCAGTACAGTCCCGTCGCTTGACCACGTTAGGTCTGTGAGCCTAGTGTAGTGAATATTTGAGACGATAGCGAACGGAACCGGCTGCTGGGTGTCATAAAAGAACACAGAGTTCTTGGTGGCGACGGCATAGATCATGCGGTACGGCAGCGAGATGACTGGGGGATTCTTATCCACATTGTACGGTCTCAGACAGTACAGTACCGGAGAGCAGCGCACAGCAACCGCGTACTCTTGGGGAAAGGGCAGCACAAATGCCGGACGCGTTAAATCGTAACGACTAAAGCCGTAGGTGGTGTTAACTGGTTTTAAGACGCCATCGTAGTCGGTGATTCCCGCGGGAGTGATCAGCAGCTTGCCATCTGGGGTGAAGCACAATCGGCGGAAGAAAGTCTGCAATGAGCCATCATGATAGAGCCGTATGTTCTTCCCATGTATTGCATGGCCCTCCTTAACTGGGAGGGTGCACTTGGAGACCCTATGCAGCACTCGCTTGGTGTGTGTATCGAAGATACGCAATTGTCTAGAAGGGCAAAGCAAAGGAAAAGTCAGAGAGTGCTTGGCAGTGGTTGACACGAGTGCTGCTTACCTATCGGTGCTCATTGTGGCTATGAATTGATTGCACGGGTCCCAGGCCACGCCCTGCACGTAGCCCTTGTGATCCTCCAGAATAGCCAGGGATTTTCCTTTGTACACATCCCACACCATCGCAGTGTTGTCCACAGAGCCTGTCACAAGGAATTGCGAATTCGGGGACCAGCTCAGATCATAGATATCCTCTCTATGACCGCGCAGCACTTTCAGCGTCATCCACGACTCCTTATCCTGCTGACTACCTGCATCGGCGTCCAAAATGTTGACGACTTCATGGTCGGCCTTCTGTTTCCAGATAAACACAACGCTCTCGTCATCGCCGGAGGCCAACAGCTCGCCATTGGGCGACCAGCGAACTGTGTTAACCGCACGTTGATGTCGGGACAGATCCACAGCCAGCTCCAAGTCGACGCCATCTCCATTATCGCACCGATTTACATACCAGATCAGGACATGTGCATCTGTTCCGCCAGAGGCGAGTCGGCAAATCGTCGGCGACCTCAGCCCTTGTCCGTTCATCTGAATGTCCACACTCAAAACTGGATCGCGGTTGTGCCACGAGATCTCCGGTATTTTGCATTTCATGTTATTAACTTATTTAACTTAGTCTATGTATCACTTTATGAAAAAATTGTAATTGATGAAAAAAATATGCGGACTATTTCGCGCCGAAAACGCAAAGTGTGACCATTTTCGACATTACCATAAACGGGGAGCAACAAAATACCGCTTAACCATAAAAAGGGGAATTTCTAATCGATACAACCGTTTCATGGCAGCTAGCTTTTGTCAGATATGAATAATGAATGCTCGATATTAGATCAAGCAAACGATTGATAGTTGAGCAATTGTCGACCATGGGGGTATTTAATATTTCCACGAAATTTATTTAGTTTTAACCATGTAAATAAATATTGTGTAAATGCCGTCGGCATTCGACTTCGTTGCTGCCGTTCTATCAACTTTGTCAATAAATTTACATATATATAGCTTTAAACTATATAGAAAATGTAAATACAAAAGCCAATTCTATACACATGTAATGTAACCCATATACATATGTATGTTTCTAGGTATATATTCATAAATTATATACATTCATACATGAATATACATACATATGCACATATATGTAAATATGTACATACATATGTATATAAAATTATTTTAGTTCAAATCACTTGTTTTATATAATCTGAAAAACATAAATCTATTGACAAAGTTGATGGTACGTTCGTCAGTTGTCGCCTTGGAGTTTAGCGGCACGGTTTTGTTGCTATGTGGTATTGGATTCTAATTTTGAGCATTCAGAGTATTAACATGCCGGTGCTAGCTGTAGCCGGCATTCTGCTCTATAACGGAAGAAAAAAACGGAAGCGAAAAATTCTTTAAAACGCGTAATTTTCGTTTCAATTGTTAAATTTGTAAAAAATAACGCATTGCTTTTAGTTAATTACAATCCAGTTTTTACATTTTTCACTTAATTTTACATTTTTGTCAGCGATCAATTATAACTTTCGTTTCATATCAGTCAGCTTTTGTCAGCTAGCAATAATAATTTTTGTTTTATATCGGTCAGCTTTTGTCATCACGCAATAATAAATTTTTCGTTTCATATCAGTAAGCTTTTGTCAGCGAGCAATAATAATTTTTCGTTTCATATCAGTCAGCTTTTGTCAATGAGGAATAAAAACATTTTTTTGGTTTTATTTTATTTATTATTACATTTTTACATTTAGTTTTACATTTTTCCTAAATAGAGGGGTGTTAAGCTCGTGTAATCGGCGGATTTCCCTTGTTTTTTATGGTGTGGTATTTAAATGGTATTTATCGAAACTGAATTGGTACATAGTGGTATTTATTTTAGTTATCGTCACGGTCACACTAATTACCAAAGCAAAAAAAAAAAAGAATGGTAAACAAATGTTTTGCCCAAAATGCGGGATTTAACTAAATAAATTTAATTAATTTCTAGTCTGTGACGCTGCATACCGACGTGGGCGACCTCAAAATGGAGCTCTTCTGTGATGCCTGTCCAAAGGCTTGCGAAAACTTCCTGGCTTTATGTGCCAGCGACTACTACAGCGGCTGTGTCTTCATTCGAAATATTAAGGGATTTATTGTCCAGACGGGGGATCCTACCAATACGGGCAAGAACGGACAGTCTATTTGGGGAACTAAATTCGACGACGAGTTCAAGGAAACAGTCAAGGTAGGTGGTGGCAAAAAGGCCTTGGATTCCGTTCGCAGTTCTCACCGGCTGCGTTGTTCTTTTTGCAGCACACTGACCGTGGAATGGTTTCGATGGCCAACAATGGGCCAAACGCCAACGCCAGCCAGTTCTTTATCACGTACGCTGCCCAGCCGAACCTTGACCTGAAATACACGTTGTTTGGTCGCGTTATCGACGGCTTTGATGCCCTGGATGAGCTGGAGAAGCTGCCTGTCAATCCCAAAAACTACCGGCCGCACGTAGACAAGAAGATCAACGGCGTAACCATACACGCCAACCCCCTAGCGACGTGAGGGACAATGACTACAAAGACCAATTGGTTTGCTTAAAAGGAAACGTATTTATAGTACTTAAGATATATGATTTCTTCGTTTACAGACTAATTGGTTGAGAAACATAGAATATTGTGCAAGGGATTTCTAAAACTAAAATCCAAAAATCAGCCGAGTCACAATAGTTAATATAAAATTGCATTGTTTTTAGAAATTTTTCATCGACTTTTGCACTTAATATGGAACTTACAATAAGACAAATCAGATGGATGTTAAAACGATCAACTAGAAAAGAGAAAACAAATGCTAACAAGAATCTCGTACTACATGCGTCTAAAAATATGAATTATGTGGATGCGCCGTTTGTGATTGATTTGGCGGGCTTCGGGTGGTCCTTCATGTGTTGCTCGAACATGCTGCGAATGTCGGCCAGTGCCTGGGAGATGTTCTCGGAGAAACGCTGTACATTCTGAAAGATACATTTCGATAAGCTGAAGCTCGATTGGAAGTATGTAATTAAAGTCAAGCCTTACCGTTTGCTGGCATGTTGTCTTTGCTGAGATATGGAAGAATATCAAATTTTCTCCAGCTATAATATAGGAGACACCATAGCCGTCGTCGGCCACAGGTCCAAAGCCACCTCCGGCACTGATGCAGTTCGGATGCTTCTTCAAATCCATCTTTGGCGTCTGCCCGTGAGGGGTCTGACTAGTCGACAAGCGCCACGGCTCGCTGAGCACTTCGTTGAGGAAGGGCGAGTCCACTTCCAAGTACTTGGAGACAACGTACAAGCAGAACAGATGCCTGTCAATGCCCCGCCCGCACATGGCATCCTGATAGCCCAGTTGATGGCGATCACAGGCTGCTTGTAGCATCTTGATGCGCTCGTCGTTCTAGCGAATAGAAAAAACAATTAGACTTGGATCCAACTATTTGAGGAGCCACCTCTTACGGTTGTGCTTTGATTTTGCATGGCTTTGACCCACGCTGCGGACTCGATGGTACACGGGCGCACTGTCTCAGTTCTTCCCTCGCGGAATAGTCGCGTCATCGAAGCCTCATACGTCAGGGAGAATCGTCCCGCATCTCGGTAATAGGCCAACTGCAGTGCCATTTGAATGTAGGCATCTGGGGAGATGCGGCACTTCTTCATGAATCCCTTGCCGTACTCCTGGTGCACCAGAATGCGCAGATTCACTTCATTGATTAGCTTGGTCACGTCTATGGTGGCCTCATCAATTTGGGCCAAACAAGGGGAAAGATCCCAGCTCAGGCGTGTGGGCAGTGGGGGCTGGAACTCAGGTGTGCCCTTGGTGTCGCCGGATTCGTCGTATCTGTAGGGTGTTAAAGCGTTCGGTCAGATCAAAGTGTATTAAATTTTTTGTGAGGCAACGTAATTAAATGGCTTTGGTTAACCTTACGAAAAATTAGTTAGTCACAGGAATATAGGAAAATTAGTTTGTGTGTTTGCATTAAAGGTTGCTGTGTAATACAGTTCCTTGGGCTGGTTACATGTTTAAAAGGTTCTCCAATGCATCTCTGTCGCGTCGGGTTAGTGCCCTTAACTCGAATGCATTCGAAAATCAAAAAAGGAGGCCCCCAAGGTTTCCCAAAACCAACTTTAATTACATTTTGTTGAAATTAAGCCAAGTGTTTACCCATAAATATCATCACCAAATATATACTCCCATAGATGTCCCAAAACCGGTGCATCGGCCCTATAAAAAAGGCGTAAATTAAATCAATTGTTAGGCCACAACCAGAGTTAATTAAAAATATATGTGTACGAGTATGTTTGTATATATGTACATGTCTAAACCAAAATAAAGAACTCAAATTGAACGCATCCAACCGACACCGACAGCCTCAAACGTAGGCGTGCACAGGTACAGAAAAGATCACTTTACCCATCCGATACAAGATCGTCGACGATGAGGTTCTCCCACATGTGTGAGGCAATGGCAGCGTCAGACCTTGGTTTGTGTGGTTTTGCAAGTTGTTCAAAGAATTTAGATTACATCAAATCAAGGAAACGAAACGAATCGTCTTTGTCTGAGCAGAACAGTAAGCACTGGGATCGGCACTTACCAGGTGTGCTCCGCATTGAAACCGAGGCGTCCGTTAGTGCCCACACAGACGGTGAAACACTTGTCGAACCAACGATTGTAGCCGTTGCCGTGAAGGAGCTTCTTTCCGAAATTGTCCAGGAGCTCGGGTCGCGCCAGGTCAAACTCGAAGGGTTCATCGTCCAGGGAGAGGACAAAAGCAGCAGATTCAATGGTCCGCAGGGAGACATGGTTAACGCCTCGCGAGAAGAACGTATTGCGGGCCTCGGCCCACTTCGAGCGGTTCCAGGCGGTTAGTGCAGCCAAATGCTCTTCACCATCGAGGGGAGTGGCGTTGGCCTTTAGGATCTCCTCAATTTGACTGGAAATAAATGCAAATGTTAGTTTCTGATTGTCCTGGGAATCTAATCGCAGCCACTTTCACTCACACTTGTAGCTCGCAAGAGCGCAGTATGCGTCCCTTGTGGTAGATGAGCATTTTGTAGTAGCAACCCTTGTGCAGCACCACAATGTGATTGGAGTCCTTGTAGTGAATGATGCGATCGGTTTCCAAGCCCGGCACACGAGCCGTATTGAAGGTTCGTTCATACTGCCAAGAGCACAGAGGAATCATGCCCTGGACCATGATCTGCGGATGAGAATAATAAGGTTAATCAGTTTGAAGTGTTATATTTAATGGTGCTGTTCCACTTACAGGTTGCAGTTCCTGGTGCTCGATGAGACGACGGAAATTGAGAAGCAGGGAGACCACGTTGGCCGCCCTGGCTGACTGTTTGTTGGTCAGGTTCATGAAGATGGCATCCGTGCCATAGAAGTTGCTGTTGACACATAGGGGGCTGCGGCCGCGCAGATAGACATACTCCTCCCACCAATCGGAGACGTAGTTGGTGGACCACCAGCTCTTCAGGATGAGATACCATTGCAGCTTCTTGCCAATATTCTGTTCAAACTCTTTGGCCAGGCGCTCCATTCGCGTGTAGTTATCATCGTCCAGCAGCGGTCGCACACTGCGGAGGTATCTCGTCATGGTGTCACTGACGGATGGCAGCGGCAGACGGGGCAAGGAACCCTGGAAACTGTACAGGCCCGGCTTGTTCCAGCTGGACAGGACGCGCACCACAGCCACCCACAATATGGTGGGCAGCGAGACGCGACTGCCCGGCGCCCTCGACTCATACATCCAGCCCTTGTACATGAGTAGAAGCTTCAATGTGTACCGCATGGTGAAACAAATCGAGAGCCAGATCACCAGGGCCGCCAGGAAGCAGGCCGTTACCTGCCAGTTAACTGTGTTGGAGGGCAGATGAACGAGAAGTCTGTTGGTCAGATTGAAGGGCGCTTGGTAACCGGCAAAGTGCAATCCCAGAGCAATGGCCGAAATAAGCCACAGACTTTGGATGTGGGCCGGATAGACGCCGTTGCGCACGCCATTCTGAAACGGGGATCCGGAAAAGTTTATCCAAATGTACCAATTATCAAATGTATCGTTGGGCTTACCCTGGCACGACCCAAGCGCTTCTTCCAGGAGCGCACACCCGAGTTCCACACGAGATTGAGCACCTCGTGGTCATAGTTGATGTCGAAGCCCTCATGGGTGATGGCAAACGAGAATGCAACGGCGGCATGGGCTTCAGCCATACCTGCAGGCAATTGGTGTTGTCAGACCTAATCGAATGCAAATGCTCTGGAAAAAAGAGAAGGTTAAAGAGGTTTTAATTTTTATGTCTGGCGATAATCTTTTCCTTTGTTTTATATAGAATTTTTTGTATGCATGTGTGAGTATTTCGTCATAATAACCAATTAATGACTGAACTGATAAGATATATTTTGAATTGGCCAGACATCTCATACGTGTGATTCATGTGTTGACCAATTACCCTCTTGGGATTGAATTGAAATGCGCTGCAGATCGTAGAACCACTTTCAGAATGTACTTTGCCATATTCGTATATGGAGGAGTGCAAAGTTCAGCAAAATATTGCACGACTCGGATCTATTTTAATAATTTTATACGCATCGCCCGATTCGATGTCATAACATTTTACATGCAATTGATGATTGACGTCACTGTAAGCGGTTTCAATCAAGTGATAACCCTAAACGAGGATCGAGATAGCGTCTCCTTGGCTCTCTAGGTCTGGGCAGCAGCAGCAGCCAGACGGTTGAGTGGCGGCCACTTCTACATACATATTTGGGTTTTGGTTAAGGAGCAGACAGTTAACAATTTGCCCAAAAAGGCGACATTCGATCACTTGGGGAAGATCCATTTCCTGTTTTTATTGCAAAATGATTTGATAACTATTTGCTTTGTGTGTATGTATTGATTCGTAATCGTATGCATTTTCCGTTTTAATTGTTATTGTTCAGAGTCTTATACTATATATATGACAGCTATTGCAATTTATAAGTGCGACAAGCACATATGCATGTATGTGTGTACATTCGTGCATATGTATATACATCTGTGGACTTTAATACTTTTATTCAAATAGTATAGGGGAATCCAGTTAATATCAATCCAAACTTAGTGTCAGTGTCGCTGTGTTTCTGTATCAGAGCAGATCACATAAGCCTTGGAGCGAGGTAAACAAACATCCCAGTGAAGGTCAGTGCAGTGGGTCTTTACTGCTATTGTCCATGCCCGTGCATAACAATAAACCAGTTCCAACTTCGGAGACCCCTTCGCGATACAAATTCGTTTTCATTTGACCCAGATCGAGGGCGACTACTATGTGCCGATGCCTAATAATTTGAGCAGCGCGCTGCCGGCTTTCATTTGTTTGCGTACGAGCGAGAAGAGGAACCAATCATAACAGACGCATAGACGAAAACAAAAAATTCAAATACGAAATGCGATTTGTATGCCTTTTGGTCGTAGTTTAAGTGAGCAGCAGCCTCAGCAGCTACAGCAGCCACAGCAACAGCGATCTCTTGCGCTGGGCCCCGAGACACTGTGGTCGAGACGGTGCAAAGTCCAAAACGATTTTTTCAGCATTGCCGTTCTGTGATGTTATCTCTTGCTAGACGTTAATTATATTGCAGAAAATTTAAATTGATGTGGTTTTTGATTGACCTTGCCTTCCCCATTACCTCCCCATTGTTTTTGAGCGTGTGTGCGCGCGGGGGTGGCATGTGTCGGCGGGGCCAACACGGGTTTTATGTAACATACTAAAAATCCCCACCACAGCTGATAAGGCAGGCAGCTAGCTATCTCAATGTGAATTGTATTTTTCAACTATCAGAAAACATGTGTGAGAATTTGGGTCAGAAGTGAGACAGAGATATCAAAATAGGAAAAGCAAAACTGAGAAAAGCCGCAAAAATGCAACAGTGTCACTGTTTATCCGCTATATGTTTGTTTCTTTGCCCCGTTCGTTGGTGACGACCCTCAGCTTGATAGAAAACGAACCTTCTTTGTCAAATCCAATGTTTCGGAAGCCAATTTAAGCCAGTTCTCCAAATCACGTTCTAATTAATTGCACTAACAGTTTCGAAATACTAGGCGAGGGAGAGAGAGCCACACACAAACAGCACGATTCGATTTTTATTCAAACTACGAGCTCCCTTTAGCCTTGCGGGTTGCGGTTTGTGGGGCCACAGAAACAGAAAACAACTTGATCACTTGAACGGCCGAGCGCCAACTGAACCAGACTGTGCTCGCTGCATGCGCATGGGGTCTTAAAAGGCAGCAAGAGACGACTTTTTTGTGTGTATGGGTGTGGTGGGGTGCGTCACGAATCGAGGGGCTCGTGGAGTGTGTTGACCGATGCCGGTTGTTCCCCGCAATTCCTCTCCACACTTAGTGTGTCTGTCCGAGGATCGATAAAGGGTTATCAGAGTCCAGCAAATGGAGATCCTATGGTAGCTAATATGTATATCTCTACATACAGGTACATACATATCAATTGAGTGTCAAAGCGTTATCTCGTGCTCGAGTTGGATATGTGGCCCACACAACTAGCCATAAACTAGTATAGATTAGAGTGCTCTAATGTTTGGTGTTTTTGAAGAGATGTACTATATTATAAAGATAATGATGTGAATAAAACTTTAAATTCCCGATAGCAATGTCCAGTTTCAGCTTGGGACTTTGACCTTTCTATAAATATAAATAGATCCGCACGATCAAATGCACAGACTCGTATGCTGTCGTCTATTTATGTAAGGTGGCGCAGGTTCTCGCCACTACTTCAGTGTGAAGAACTTCCCTGCTCACCAATTTCAATTGAATCTTATCAGCGTTACATGGGTGGTGTGGAGCCTGATTACGTGTGTACTTACTTCAGACGATTAACGGTCTGAAAAACAAGTCTTATATGATTTGATTTTATAACATTAAAATGATCAAAGCTGCGATAAGCATTAATTGAAAGGTTTTATCGCGTCTAACTATTTTTAGTTGAAAGTCCAAGCATTTGTATGTACATACTACGCCTGTGGGGGGGGCCTGGGAAACTTTTGTAGTACGCAATTCGGCGGACAAGGCTGATAAGAACGGGCACGCGGTCCGATAACACCGATTTTTGCCAAAATAACCTAGAGCAATCAGCGACGGGTTGGCACTGCTGCCTGGTTGGCATGTCTGGGGGGCCTATGACTATCTAATTGATATGTTGGTCTGCCTCAAAAGTCTGGGAAGGAGTTAATTTCCACCCAACACAGACGAATCAAAGAGAGATCACAAGCTGAGCTGGCAGGTCGCACTGCTCATATATCTCCAATGTGGACTTTGAACCTCTGCAACTTTAAATGTGCGACGACCAAGGCAGCGCCAGCACCAACGACTCATGTCTAACACAGTTGAGACAAAGGCAAGGCAAGCGAAAGGCAAACAAGAAGGTGGGGGAACCAGTCGGGCCTCTCTGAAATATCATTCACAGCTGGCGCTGCAATTAGGAGGTCAATAGTACCTATCCTACCTGAGCAGCTTATTGGGGATCGGATCTGCCATTTGTTAATCTCCTCTCTTGGATAAGGTTGTTTGCATACACACACATATGTACATACATAAATGCATACATATATGTATGTATGTATAAATATGAGCAGTGGAGGAAACTGCAGCAAGACACGTAGCCAGGCCAAGAGACAGAGAGACGGGGCTCTCACTATGTGGTGCACACAGTTGCATCTGGGTCTGTGTATGTGTGTGTTGTGTGTTTGTTTTACAGATGTTTGCCAGTAGAAACTCTCACAGCTTTTGCTCACCCACTCAGAGCGAGCAGAGAAGCTGGCGGCTCAGCTCTCAGAGAGCCACAGAAGGCAAGAAGAGAGTCGTCAATCCGCACAAAACTCGTTTTGGACTTTGAACCGAGTTGAGAAAAGCGTGTTTTGTACAAAACAGCGTAAAACAACAACGACTTTATTAAAAAACAAACAACAATCAGAGCCACGAAAAGTCGGCGTCGGGCGGCGGGTAGTGTTGTAATAAATACAATATTATTCACTTTTAGTTGCTGCTTTTCCAAACAAGTTTCCATGCGATTCGTAGAAAAAATTCACTATTCGGTGCTGGCTGGGACTTGCATGTGACCCAATTATTTACGAACTGGTTGGAGTTTTTGAATTGTTTCGGTGCGGTAAGAGGGAATTAGTCAATTTGGGACTGAGCATGTCGCTGGGGCAACAGAATCAGGGTAATTTACCCAAATAAGAATCGGAAATGGGTTAGGGCTAATGTATTCACACGCACTTACTTCTGTTCTGGTGAAACGCCGGCCAATGTAGAGTAGAGTCGCAGGGAAGACAATCTATGGATTGGTTTTTATTTATACAAATGCACAAATTGAAGAACACAACAGAAAACAGCGAAAAATACCCAAGAGACGGACAACTGCAAAGGCGCGCGCGCAATGTTGTAAGCGTTGCGGTGGTGGCGAAGAGAATGAGAGTCGCTCGGAGAGCGGCAGCAGCAACAAGCGCGAGATTTTCGACCATATGATCGAAGCAACGGCAGAATAATCAACTTGATGGAGCATACACATACATACATACATTACTGAGATATATTTAAATACAGGAACAATGCGCTTTCAAGCTTAACATCGCTCGCTTGTTTCATTATCAATGCTCTTGGTAGAGTCTCTTCTTAGATTAAATATAAACTGAACTATCCAGATGAATGCATATAATAAGTAGAGTGGAGACTTGGTCTGAGTATAGGCTAAACTACTCAGTTGCTGCTGCTGACTGATCTCCATCCTTGTTGTCCTTGTTGGACAGGCCGCGTATGCTGACGTCGTAGACAACCTCTTCAATCTTCTTCACGTCATATTTCAGGGCATCAAACCGCTTTCGTAAGCCATCGTTCTTCAAATTGAGCAATCGAAAGCCCGTGTTCAAGTCGCCAATAAAGTGCGAGATGTTCAGGGGTCGCTCATAGTCGCCCATCGTGACGGAATTCGTGGCAAACCGCGACAGCTCCGATGCAAGCTGCAATATGCCCAGCAAATAGTCCTCGACGTCCAAATGGAAGCCATCACCCGGCTTGGTCTTCACTATTGGCAGAAAAATCGAATGGAAATTAAAACGTTACCAGGCAGATAATGTTTACTCTACTCACAGCCCAGCATTTCGGCCACTGTCTCGCGGGTCACCAAAAAGCCCGCCTCCAAGTAAATAACCAAGGCAATGAGAAAAATCAATCGCTGTGTAATGTAGGTCCAATGATCGGAGTACCTGTGGAGAGCAGAGCATTAGACACCCACACAGCTATCATATCTGACTCACCTGTAGTATTGCCCTGGTGGCACCAATGTGGCCAATTTTACATATTTTTCGGCACAGGCTTCGATTAGCTTCCGGGCTGAGCCGCAGGCGCCGCTAACTAAACGTAAAAGGAGTTAGAAATGCCAACTTTGGCGCAAATGGGTCACCTACTTTGGCTTAAATCACTGTGAATTATTTGCAACTTGATTTGTGCGTCCTTTGCCAGGTGCTCAATTTCCCTCACCACAAGGCGAATATTCTGCAAATAAAGTCTTCCGTATAAGCACCTATTTTTTATAATATTCGGGTCACTTACCTCCCGTAGCTCCTGCTCGTTGTCTATATACTTTTGGTAATTTGAAAAGATATCCATATTCACGAAATTCGACATTTTGTGTACTTTAGCTTGTTTACGCCGGTGTAGATGCTAGAGATGGGATGTGTGTATAATGATGCGATATTGAAATTGCTTAGACAAGAAAGCTAGAGGTGGGCATGGACAGTCCATTCTTCGTGTACATCGGCGTGCGTGTTCGTGTTGAAATATTAAAATTTCGATGCCAGCAACGATCCCAGCCAGTAGTGTGATGTTTCCCAGCCCTGACCATAATGGGTTAAATTGTACATATATGTAAATTTGTGAATGCATGTATATAGAAACACTTTATATCGTTCCATATATGTACCTATTTTAATATCTACAACTTAAAATCCACTTCTTATTTCTCTGTAAACACTAAATATGAATTTTAAATATGAATTATTCTTGTAACTAAAAACATCGATTTTTTAGAAAAATCATCGATGACATCGATGTTTCTCCGCTCTAATTGTTAGACCAGGGCTGACTTCCTGCCAGACTTGTGTTTTGTTTTGTCAAATTAGTTTCAATTAAAATCAAATTCAGCTCGTGAAAAATGTCCTACGTAGGTTCTCCTCTACTCAAAGGGACGTCGTACAAATGGATTACAATTTGGTTTTTTGCAGGGTCAAGGCTACAATCCCTACGGCCAGCCCGGTGGAGGCTATGCAGCACCACCAGGCGCTTTTCCACCCCAAAACTCACAGGTGATTTATTTTACTATTTTATATTTATATTATATTCTTTTATATTTCAGGCCTCCTCACAGGCGCAGCAATGGTTTGCCATGGTGGATAGGGACCGTTCTGGAAAAATCAACGCTTCCGAGCTGCAGGCGGCGCTGGTCAATGGGCGTGGCGACCACTTCTCGGACAACGCATGCAAACTAATGATTAGTAAGTTGCCGCTTCTGGAGTCGCTATTGTGACGTCACGGCCATCAGTATGAAGGCGTGAAGGAACTTCTTTATTTCCGAAGCGCTAGCTGTGTCTATAAATATTTCCTAGCTGCCCCATATCTGGAGGTAGACGGGCGTGTTTGCTTAGATCGCCGCGCAGACATTATCGCGATTGTTTACTTAGCCGCTGCTTTTTATTATGTTTACTCAATCGCACTTAATGGCAAACTTTGGCCCTACTTGCAGGCATGTTCGACAACGACGCTAGCGGCACCATCGATGTGTACGAGTTCGAAAAGCTTTACAACTACATTAATCAATGGCTGCAGGTCTTCAAGACCTACGATCAGGACTCCTCTGGCCATATCGAGGAAAGCGAGCTGACTCAGGGTAAACTAATATAAAATATATTGCTATCATTGGTTGATGGTTGCTTAATGACTTTCGCGTTGTTCACAGCCTTCACGCAGATGGGCTTTCGGTTTTCGCCTGAATTCATCAACTTTCTGGTGAAGAAGAGCGATCCACAGACCCACAAGGAGGTGTCGGTGGACCAGTTCATTGTACTTTGTGTGCAAGTTCAGCGCTTCACGGAGGCCTTCCGTCAGCGGGACACGCAGCAAAACGGAACAATCACCATAGGCTTCGAAGACTTTTTGACAGTGGCAATCGGCTGCTCATACTAAACTTCGAGCATACGAAACTGTTTCCAAAGCAATCCAAACTCTTGCACACGGCACAGCCATCAGACACAACACTCATTTTTTTATTCCGTTTACTGTGCATTTTGTTTCAATTTATATGGTGTTTGCTAGCTTAGGTATTCGTCCTCTCACATTCATGTTATTGCAATCTCCTGGTACCAGAATCACCTTTCAAAAGTATTTGTTATATCAGCTCGACTAACACATAGTACAAAGTGTCTTGCGCCTAAAATAAAGTACATAGTTTTATAAAACGAAATTAAAATGGTTTTATTGAAAGTAAAAATTGTAGTCATTGTATATGAATAATTATCTTATCTTAGCAGTTTCACTGCCCCACGCGTAGCTGTATATTCTCGTGTATATGTGTATAATCTTCTTGTATATGCACACATCTTATGGTGTTTAAAATTTGAACGATTCAATGCGACAATACAAAGCTTATAAGTAATATACGCGTATGGTAAAACATTTAGACATTAAATTTGTTTTGGTTTTTGTTTTGGGAATCGTGTAGTGTACCCCATTTCTTTTTTTGGTCATCGGTAAACATTTTTAAATACAAAAACTCAGTCTTTAAGTCCATAAATGTATAAATCGAATGTCTTAAAGGAAATAAGGCAAATAAAATAATGGCTTTTCCAATGGCAAGTTCCAAACGATTCTCTGTAAAACTATATCAGTCAGAGTAAGAGTACACATGTGCATTCATACATATGCATATCAATAAAGATGGCATCGATTGAGGAGATCCAAGAATTGTCAAGGGTTTCTGTCTTAGGAAGCTTGATCAAACTTAATTAAGAGATCTTCGGGGCGGCAAGGGCTTGGAATTGTTATTTAGGGCAGGATTTTAAAAATGTTTCGAAGATACAGATGAGCCCTAAGAGTAATTTTATTTCTGGACAACAGCGAAATGCTTGATAATCTCTTAGTAATTAGTTGCCTTTTAAAAAAGATTCGTGTAAATATGTTGGGCATAAAAATCCTTAACTATAAAATCGTATAAAAATAAAGTCAATTGTGTTTCTCACATCTCACATAGGCTTATAAAATATCAGAATCAAAGTGTAAAATAATACGCAGCGTGAAATATTGTTCGGTTTGCAGTCGTGTCGTTGTCGTATGTTGCCTTAAGACTAATTTGATTATCTGCTTGATTAGATTGGTTTACGAGTGCTTATATTATATAAATTATTACAAGTAAACATTAAATATTTGGGATGACACATAGATGACAAGAAATATAATTCGTTAATTCGTCAAATCAAGACAAAAATGCTGGAGATTGCAGATCTCCTTTGTTGTTGGTATGTGTATATGTTGAACAGGGCTACAAATTAAATGGAAGCTTCAGTTGGTCCCCATAAAAGTATTATTTGGTATCAAATCGTATGCAGAGAGTTCCCTCCTACTTATTGCAGTCTATAATCAGCTTGCCCTGGGAATCGTCGGACATAGAGCCGCTCATGCCGTCACACTTCATAGAGTACTTGGAGCGGCGCTTGCTGGGCAGCTGGGGCAAGTCGGTGTGGTGCTTCCTCACGTGGACACCTAGGTTTCCGCGCTGCTTCGACTTGTATGGACAATAGGGACACTGATGGGATGGCTCCTTGCCACCGCACTCGACATTCTCGTGGCGACGCAGCGTAGACTTCCAGCGATATTTCTTGCCACAGTGACGGCACTCATAGACTGGTTCGCCATCCAGGCCAATGGCATTGGGACTGGTGATGCTCCCGTTGCTGCTACTGCCACCATAGTCACTCAGTGTGAACTCTAGATTGCGAAAGACTTGGGCCTGGGCCTCCAGTATGGAGTTGGTGGACCCTCCGTGGGCACTCGAATGGAACATGTGCAGCGAGCTGTTGCCGAACTTGCTCCCACCCTGTTCCATGAGATGTATATCGTCAAAGGCATGGAAGCGGCCATCATCTTCATCCTCCGTCGATGATCCCGGCTCGTTCTCGCACTCCGAGTGGCGCATATCGCGCTCCTGCTGCTTGCGCAAGAGGTTCTCCAATATTTTGGTTGGCGTGGTCTCGGTTCCATTTGCAGTCTCGACCTCCTCCTTGATGCGACGTTGAGGCGTCTGATGGCGCAGGATCTCCTGCGCACGCAGCTGTTGCTGGAAGCTGTGCAGACCATTCCGCATCAGGGCTTCGGCTATGGCAGCCGCCTGTGGTTTCGGCGCTGGAGCAACTGGAGCTGTGGTTTTGTTGGCAACCAACACAGACGTTGGTATGGCCTTGACACCACCAAGGCCGAGGCCTGTGGGGACCGCTGTCTTCAGAGTGAACTTGTTGCGCGGATGAAATGATGTAGCGCCAGCGGCAGCGCCCATTATTTCATCAGCATTCAAGTTTTTTGAAGCCGTATCGGAAGCGGAGCCGTAAACGGCGATCGCAGCAATGGTGGAAGGCTCCAATGTCTCGCCGGAGGTGGGAGACACCTGGCCGTACTGATTCATCTCTGTGTGGTCCAGTTGCTGTTGCTTCGGCACCTTGGCCGATTTGGTCTTGTAGAACTCGAACAGCATGTCCGAGACCTCAGACACAGACAGACGCTTGCGGCGAGATCCCGGCGCTTGGGCCTTTTGCTCGTCGCGCTTTCTTCCATTGAGAATACTACGCTGGAAACTGCGCTGAATCTCTGCTGTTCCCACTCCCGGGGCGGTGTTCTCCTTTCGGCTTAAGTCTGCAATCGGAAACATATTTTTGATTAGTTTTTGCCAAACAAACAATTATTTTAAATTTTATATTCGCTTTTCTCGCTTCTAGTTCCTTCAGTATGAGCTTTGTCGAACGACTTATGAGTTGTGACAAATGACAAATGAAAAAGCATGTTGTAACTCTCGGCCTGCTTGGGTTTGGGGTTAGAGCATGGAAAGGTGTTAGATGACAGAAAGCATGCAACAAACTAAAAGCAAAATACAGTAAATTATGAATAAGTAACGCAACACACATATAATTTTGGTTTAGCATTAAATAAACAGGGGTACACGTAATTTTCACTTTTATTAATATTTTTAACACATTTTTGGCATAAATTAAAATATCTTTTTTTACAGGCGGACCGCAAATAATATTTAAAATTTGGTTTTTCTTTTGTGGTGCTTCGATGTGATGATGCAATGATGATGTTGGAGATGTTTGTGGTGGGTGAATTTTTTAAACCGAAACCATCTTAAGTGTATCTCATTACCTGCTATATCTGTGAAAAGAGAGAATAATAGGTTAGTGATATCTTGAATTTCTATTCAATTTTTCGCTGGTATATCCATGATAGGCTGCGTTGATGTTGATCCGAATCTACCTGTAAATAAGCACAAATTCGGATTAATCAAATGATTTTAGATATATTTTTCCAGTGCAGTTAGTTGTGGCCGGTGTTTGCTTTTTGCGGATTTTGCTTGGGCAGAGCTTTTGATTATTAACTCATTTCACACTCGAATATTCAAATTCAAGTAATTGGTAAGTCGAGCTTAACCAGCTTTTCCTTGCACTCTGCCCACGCACAACCAGCCGCGAAAAGCATCCACTCTGCAACACAATCGAAACGGCACTAGTTGACGCAGCCTAGCTTACAAATTTTCAATCCCATCCAAGCACGAAGCGCAGGCAACAACGGAACCGAATCCTAAATCCTATGCGCAGCTGCAACGCACACACAAACACACACGCACAGTCAGGGGCTCGGAAAATTCTCGTCTTTGTGTGCGCGTGTGTATCTGTTGCACAGCAAGTGCAGGCCCTGGCCTGCGAAGAATCCTTGATTTATTTTTACTCTGGTTTTCTACCTAACTCAACAGTTGTTGTTTTTGTTGTTGCTATTCTCGTGGGTTCTGTTGTATCTTTCACTGTGTGTGCCGCCATGGCACAGACAGATTACGATCGGGAGAGGAAAACTTTCTCTGAGAGGAACTCACTCTCTATTTGAATCTGTGTTTGTGAGAGAGAAAGCAATCCGAGCAGGCGCACACAGAGGGCATCTGTGTGTGTTTATTTCTAGCTTCCGGTGGTGTTTTTCATGTTTATCCACACATGCATACATATGCACGTATGTATGTATGTATATTTCCCCAGCATTCTAGATGCATCTGTTCACTAAAATGTATTTCAAGGTCAAGCTATGAAAACTTAAGGGAGGCTGACATAAAAATACATTTTTTGACATGCTCATATGTATGTACATGTAAATGTCTGTGTGCCTGGTATGTATGCATGTGCTGAAACTGCAGCTTGAAGCTGTTTCATTTCTTAAGACCCTCACAGACATTATAATCCTGACTATCAAAATTTTCCATCGAATTTTCCACGAATTTATCCCACACAAATAGCTTCAGAACCAGCCCTTGAAACTTGTGTGTCCTCTTTGGGTCCTGCCCGGGTTCATATGTATGTTCATTTGTGTGTGTTTTAGGCTTTGCGAAGGCAAAGCCCAAAGAGGACACCGATAATGCAGGCAGGCAGTCGGACCTTGAGCGGCACGCATGCGCATTGCCAAATGGATAATATCAACGGAAAATCACGTGGGAAGCAGTACTGCAAAAGCCATTTGACGTCCACTCGCACCAACACACAAGAGAACCAGGCAGACAGGCAGCAGGCAGGCAGACGAGAAAGGAAAACTTATTTTTAGAAAAACACACACACAAAAAACGACCCATCCTGATTTATGTGTATGCAGTGTATGAGTCCTGAAACTCATTCTGGGTTTTGTGTGGGTGAACAAAGCATAGACTCAGTGAGTGAGAGAGATAGAGAGACAACGTGAGAGAGCGTTGGGAGTACAGTTAGTTTGTGGTTGCCCAAAATCGGTATGAATTGAGATTTTTGCAAGGCATCGTGCACTTCCCCTCTCAGCCATGGCCATAGCCATCCCATCCCTCTTGGGCTTGGCTGAAACCATTGTTAATAGAACCTGTTTGAAAAAGGATTATTTCCTTATCTTGATCTTTTTGTGCTGAAACCTGAATCTGATTGTGTTTTAACATTGAAAGGTTGAAAAGATCTTCGTCTACTTGCCTGTTTTATTCCAAACTCGATACTTCTTTGGTATCTTATAATATTTAGTAGTTAACCAATTATCTGCAAATAAAACAAAAAAAAAATTAAACCATTAATGAAATAATAAAATCAAGTATAAATAAATAATACTAACCATTATAAAAAGCAAAAAAACGGAGTTCTTTGAAACTATAAAAAAATGAAAATGAAAAAAGCAACAATTAATAGTTTTTTACATAACACTGGAATA